ATCAGCCCCAACGACCAGGTGCTTCCAAACGCAGCCACCCGATACGCCGTGCTCGGTATCTGACCGTGCGGGCGCGGCTCCAGTTACTGTGTCACAGTCTTGGCTACTAGACTAATTAAGTTTTATACGATGTAAAACTAAGCAAAATTACCAGCCCATTTGTTAAATACCAACTACTACTACTGAATATCACACAACGTACAAAACCTCAGAAGAAACGGTTCTTGCCTTCACACCTTACCTTAAGCTGGACCATGATTAAAATCACATCGCAGGAGGTTATTGCAATCTTCTGATACACTGATTTTAAAATAACCACCTTGAGAAACATTAACCCACACTAGCATCCGCGGGCACCGGTGACACTCCCGAGTGCCAGACACCAGACTGGGCGGTAACAGACCGAGACAGACTTCCGCGTCTGTCAGCAGCCGGCAGTTATTACTCAGAAAGCTGTGAGGCCAGCCGAGATCACTCGATAATGCAACGGTCAAATGGCTGTCTGGGCTCCAAGGAAAGGTGGTGGTCACGTGTCCGCAGGGCGGAGTCAGGCCCCCACCGACCGCCTGCCCCGCATGTGGCCACCGAGCCACAGGCACATTCTTCACACTGCCCTGCGGTCAGCGGGGTCACTGCCCAACTCCAGCCCCTCGGGAGCCCCGGGGCGGCCGGCGGGCTCAGTGACGGTCTTCAGGTGACAGGCTGACTCTCAGGAAAGCGCATTTGCTGGGCCTTAAGAGCTCAGCAATCCTGGACACGTGGCGACATCTCAACCCGGTGAACCAAACCGACCAGCCGGGTGCCCTAAAGGCCCCGACGGGGAACAGCACGGGACCTGCTCCCCCACCAACGCAGCGGACCCCCGGGAGGGCCACAGAGCACGCGAGGACGCGGCCGTCCTCCCTCCGCACCATCCCCCGCCCCGGAGCGTGCCCTGCGCTTCCTCACGGGGCCTGCTGGCCGGACAGCTGCCGCTTCCAGCGGGGAGGGCCGCACTCCAAACCCCGCCGGGAACGGGGCTCCTCGCGCCCCCTGCCCCCGTTCCTCCTTTCTCGCTCAAGGAAGGAAGTTTCACACCTGAGCTTGCAGCATCACGTGCTCCTGCTAACGTAAGAGGACAGGCACAAGCACTCTGAAAATAACCTGTGCCAAGATTCCATTTCCCCTACCGTGGGGACGGGAACCCTGAGCCACGCACCTGCCCAAGGAAAAGGAAAGGGGCCGGGACAAAGGCGGACGGGAGCAGACCGCGCGACGGGCAGATGCACGCCCCCAGGGGAGGACGGGCCCCTCCTTCCGCAGTCGGACAGATGCCCGCCTCACCGCACACCAGCCTGCGCCGGGGGGGGGGGGACACCCAGGCCCGCCTGGAGCCCCCCCCCACCCCCGTAACAGCCCTGCCTCCCTCTGCATCACTGCACTTCCTGGCCCTGGGACGCAGGCGCCCAGACTTGGGCGGGCGCCCAGGGCCACCCGGGGGAGGGTCCCGGTGCCAGGGGCAAGATCTGGAGCAGGGACCAAGGGGCAGAGCCGGCTCCCGGACCGTGCTCCCCCCGCGTGATGAGTGAGGTCCACTTCTTCACTTTCCTCCGCTTGCGACTCAGTGCAGCACACGTGGAGAAATCTACACGACAGGCAGCACAAGGACCCCACTCCTCGCCTGACACGGGCACGGCGACCGCAGCCCCGTGCAGCAGGCCAGGGGGGAGGGGCTGGCAAGACCTGCACGGCCGGCGGGAGCTCCCTGGCAGGGCACCAGACGGAAACGCACTGGCCCAGCGCAGAGCCACTTCCTCCCCAGAACCCGCCCATCAGCGGGGAACGGGTCGGGCCGAGCCGAGCCGCCGGCGGACGTGAAGCTGACCCCCAGCTCTCTCCTGGTTGGGGGACAGCAGACTTCAGCACCGCCAGTGAGCGCCCACCTCCCACAGGCAGCAGGGACGGTGCCCTGGAGGGTGGCAGGGGTGGTGACGCGCGTGGAAGGCGAGGGGGATGATCATGCAGAAGGTCCCCAAACCCGTGTCAGCACGGCCAAGACCCTGGTTGGGCAGGGAGGACAGCAGGACGAGCCCCACCGCCCAACAACGCCCCACGTGCCTCCCGTGTGTTCCTGACGGCTCGCCCCAGTTTGAGACGGCCCTGCAGTGCCCTGAAAGACAGCCTGGGTCTGTTCCCCACAGTGCCCGGCCCGCCGCGGGGCAGCTGCCCCTTCTGACTCGGCGTAGGAGAGGTCAGGCAGGGGGAGACCACCGGGTCTCGGGATGGGCTCAGCCCTGCGGTGAGACTCCCCCCGAGCCACATTCTTCTGCTACTTTCCGCACAGAGAGCTGCCTTTTCACCCAGGAAAACGGGTTCCAAGACGCGAGGGCTGTGCTTTCTAACTTGGAGCGCTGTGAACACCCCCCCACCCCCGCCCCCGCCCAGGGGAGTCCGCCTGTGAACTGTGAGCTGCCTGGCCACCCCGCGCGGCCTCTGGAATGCTCAGGGCCAGCCCGGGGCTGGGCCGCTCCACAGCCCAGGCAGGCTGCAGCTGGCTCCTGCGCTCTTGCTGAAAGCAAAGAACACTCCTTTCTTTTCATATGTTGCAATCTTCAAGTCAACAAGCCAGTGGCCGTTTCTGAAACACAACACACCTCTGAGGTGCCAGAGAAGACTCGGCGACGACCACAGAGGGGCCGCTTCCTGCCCCTCGCCGAACGGGGCGGCCGCGGTGCACTGGAAGCCGTCCGGTCAGGAATGCTGGGCGACCAGTCACCCTCGCCAGAATCAGATACGAAAGGAAAACAAAAGCTGGCAACGATTCCAGCTCTCATGTTTCTCTTCCAGAATTATATTTAATAAGGTTAATCTTTGAAGAATGCATTAACTCTCTTACCTGGTTTAAAACAGAACTGGGAGACAACTCCTCGCTACAAGGCCTGTAAATTCAGGTAAGACTAACGTATGGAACTATCTCCAATGGTTTTGTAAAATCACCAACTTAACTTTTTGGAAACGTATTTTTAGGTAATAACATTCCTATACCTCTAGTTTAAAAAACAATCACTACACATTATTTTTAGCCTCGCAGCTTCCAACGGGAAGTGAGAGCTGCCTGCGGCGGGACGAGTAAGAGCGGCCTCCAGAGCGGCCTCGGCCTCGCACGAGAACCGGCACTGACCAGGACGGGTACCTCGCTCCTTCACGAGGCCAGCAAATTGACAGTTAGGGTTTTTCTAGGCTACAAAAATAGGATGGAGTAATTATATCTGCCACACTCACAAGAGCCTGTCCAATGGAGAGCGACACTGGAATTCCTCTCCAAACACAGAAAATAGGAAGAGAAAGCCCCCAACTCTGTGACACAGGGAAAAGCCCCAAACCCTCGGGCACCGCTCCCAGGGCGAGCTCTTGCTGGCGGCAGGCGTGACCCTGAAGCTGAGGGACAACCTCAGCGTCTCCTACTTTTAATGAGCTTTATTTCTGCCACTTGCACTTTAAAAGTGTAGTGCCTACACTTTCAATCTCTACGTCTAGAGATTACAACCTGAAGGCGAGTCTGAAATAAAATACCACAGGACTCTTTAGACAGGAGTCCCAGGCCCCTGCTACTACTGAAAAACAGTTCAAAATCTGTTCAGTTTTCCTCCCACAAGTATGAAGTAACCATCCTCAAAAAACTAAAATGTAGAGTTCAACTGAGATTTTATTGAACAGCTTATAATACAAGTGTTTACACCAACAGATTCAAGTAAATTTCAACCCTACCGACAACAAAATGGGGGGGGGGGGGAATTCACTTTGCTTCAAAAGATGGCGAACACACCGTTTACCATCAACACAGTCTCTAGGTGTGTGACATTCCGGGTGAGCAAACTAGCATTCTGGCTAGTGAAACTCACTCGATAGCGCACCCCCCGAACAGAGCGGGGGAGAGGACCCGGGTCATCAGCTGCAAACACGGAACGCGGGCGCCCGGCCCAGGCCCCGGGTTCATCCGCCTCTGCGCCAGACCTCCACCCGCGCGGAGCAGCCGACTTCCCCACTGGCATTTACTTACTCGCCCTGTTTTACGGCGGCTGCCGCCGTGCAGCCGCAGCCCGTCCGGGCGCCCGGGTGCGGACACTTGCTGGGTCACTGCCCTGCACCCACAGCGGTGGTCCCGTGAGAACAGGTAAAGTTAACCTTCCAAATCTGGAGTTTCCCGTTTCTCTCTGGAGCTTACTTTACTCCCCGGAGCAGGAAGGCGCACAGACACACCCGGGAGCCCACGGCACGGCAAGCGCACGCGGAACTGCCGGTCGCGAACGTCCTTCGCCGCAGGGTGCCTGGGCGCGGTGGGAACCCTGTTTTTTTAGGATTTTTTTGTTGTCGGGGAAGCAACCTCCAAGTAATGCACTGCGGTTTTAAACAAATAAACAATCAAGTTCCAAAAAAAGTGCCGAGTCACTCGAAAAATCCACCAACACCGAAGACGCGTCCCGCGGCCAGTGTTCGGATCAAGGTCAGCAGCGGCTGCGGCCGCGCTAACCGCCCCGCGGGCGGGGCCTCGAGCACTCGCCCGGCTTCTCGGCCCCGCGGCCGCCCCGTCGCGGCGGGAAGGGCTTCCTTCCCCGAGAAAGCGCGCGGTCGCCTCCAGGGCGTCCGGCCAGACCCGCGGGGGCCGCTCCGGCGCTCCGCGGCCGCGCCGTCCCAACGGCCGCGCCGGGACCGGGGCCGCGAAGCGGCTCGGAGTGGGACAGCAGGCCGCCGGGGCGGCTGCGGGACGGTCGCCGACGCCGAGACGCCCTGGACGCCCCACGCACCCTGCGGTCCCCGGGGGCCCCGCGGTACGGCCCCGCAGCCGTGACAGGCGCCCCCGCGCCGCACCTGCCCGGGGCTCGCCTGTCACCGCAGGGGCCTCGCCCCCCGTCCCCGCGCCCCGCAGCGGCCCCCGGCCCCGAGCACGCCCGTCACTCGGCTGTGAACAATCGCGAGTCCCGGTCCCCGCGCCCGCGTCCCCCGTCCCGCCCGCTGCTTACCCGGCGGCTGCAGGAGGCGGCTCCGCGGGCTCCGTCCCTGCACGGCTCGGGTCGCCGCGGTCCCCCGGCTCGGGGGCGTGGGCGCCGGCGCGGCTCGCGGCTCCGGGGGGCGGCGGTTCCAGCACCGGCTGCGCGGCGCTGCCGCCCGCGGGCTCGGGCGACGGGGACGGGGACCGGGACGCGGACGGCGGCGCGGGCGGCGGGTCCAGCTCCACGCTCCGCACTTTGCGCAGCTGCCGCCGCCGCCAGTCCGCCCGCTCGCGGCCCCCGCCCGACTGCAGGGACCCTCCGCTCGTCTCTGCGCCCGCGAGTCCCGACGACGACGCGCGACTCCCCGCCGCCGCCGCCATTTTCTGTCGCGGCCGCGTCCGCCGGGCGGAGGGCGGGGCGGGGGCGGGGCGCTGGCGGGGGGCGGGGCGCGTAGGCCGCCTGCGCAAGGACGGGAGCGCGCCCGCCTGGGCCTGCACGCGCGCGCGGGCGCGCCGGGGTGGGACCCTGGGGTCGCGGGAATCCCGGGGTCCCGGAAACTGGAACACTGGAGTTCGGGGCGCCGAGATTGGGGAGACGGGGACGCCGGGAACGGGGGGACGGGGTCACCGAAATCGGGGGCGCGGACACCGGGATCTGGAGGACGGGCCTCGGGTGCAGGGGACGCACGCGCGCGGGAGGGACGGGACACCGCGGGCTGGGGGACGGGCCGCAGGTGGAGGTCCGCGGTGCGCGTCGCCGCCAGGTGGTCCCGCCGCGCCTGCGACTGGAGGGGCCGCTGCTGCCGCGCTCCTCAGCGGGGCTGCCACTCGGACTCCGGTGTGCGGTGCGTGGAGGGGACGCTGGCGGCAGTGTTCACATTTGTCATCGGCCCCGTGCGCTGGGGAACCGGCGCAGACCAACCCTACACCCGCCCCGCCGGAAGCGGCCCAGCGTCCTGCAGGAGCGCGGCCGCGGGCCGGAGAAAGAGGGCTTTTTTTTTTCCTTTTTTCCAAAGCGTTCCGAGTCCGCTGTTTCCTGACTCGCGCTGTGTTCAGAACTTCCCAGTGTCCGCGTCTGCGGTCCCCAAGCCGAAGTTCCTGACTTGGGACCCGACCCCGCGCCCGGCTGGAGAGACACACACCTGCGCGCGGGGCGGAGGGGCGCCCGAAGCACGTTTGGGGCGGGACGGCACGGAGCCAGCAGGTGCCCCGGGGCCCCTCGGCCAGGTCTGGCCCCCACCCCCAGCCGACGCCGGGAACCGCACGTCCCTGCGCCCCGCCCCGCCGCGCGGGCGGATCCTCCAGCCCCTGGGGCGGGGCCACGAGGTGCTTCGCAGTGAAAACGAACATTTCCGTGTTGTTCACGGTTTTCGACCTTCTCTGGGCGCGCGGAGCCGCCAACGCAGCAGCGACCCCGGACTTACTGCGGAGGCGGGGGCCCTCCGGAGCAGAGAGGGTCGCGCTGTCCTGCCCCTCGTCATGTGCTCAGACAAGAGTCCGAACTGACCGCAGAAGCACCCTCTGACTTCTTGGAATCGGTCAAATGGCAGCTCCTCGCCAGGGGAGGCCGGGGGTGCCCGAGGGAGTTTTAGAACTGCCCCAGTTTCATACTAGCTTCCTGTTTTGAGTATTCTACATCTGCCAGAAGATGCTTTTAGGTAGTTACATCCAACGGGACAAATTTTGAAAGGTGAATCTGTTAAAATTGCAAGTGCATATGTAGGCTGTAATCACGCGCTTTTCTCCTGGTAGCCGAGCGCTTTCCTGGGTCTTCCCGGATGGCCACACCCAGCAATCCTGAGGTTGAAAATGATACTCTTCTCTTTCCTGTTTAAATCGAAAACGCCTTACACTTGCGTCCACACTAAGGCACCTGTAACCAAGAACAGGAGGTGGACTCCATTAGCTTTTCAAAATTCTGAAGTTTGGCCAGAGTAGCAAAGCAGAAGCGGTTCCAGCAAGACATTTCCTTTTGCCGTTTTATTTATCCGTAGCGATGAAAACGGGACCAAGTGAGGGGGGTTCCCAAGGCCATACTTCCTAGCAGCCAGGTTCTCTGGCTTCCCGGCCCACCAGTCCCACCCTGGACACGCCTCTGTGCTGGGCTTTCGCTTGATATTTAGTGCTTTGAGTCATTTTCTCCATAATCTTTTGGGTAAATATTTGGGTTGTTATTATGCATCTATATACACTGGAAAACTGATTTTTTTTTAAAAGAGAAACATAATCAAAGGCTGTGCTTGACTGAAGAGTGCTCTTCCTCTGCAGTGTGTTAACACAGTCTTCCTGGGAGACTCACTCAAGGGGCTGCTGCCACAGTCGGTCTTGCCCCCCCGCCCCACCCCGGGTGGGGTTCCAGCTCTGGCTTTGGAGCCCTTGGCTCCCGCTTCCTATGCCTGCAGAGAGCCACATGTCCAACTACCTTCGTTTGATCTCCTTAGTGACAGAGGCGGCGGGTGTCCCTTCAAAGGCTGCTTGTCCGCTGAAAACGCCAGGCGTCACCTCCGAGCCCTTTACTTCCATCCTCTCTGACACAAACGCTGCGGCGGCTGCATCGCTGCCGTGACAAGTCCGGAGCCATCACGCCAGGGTTTTCCAGATGGCTGCTTCCCCAGAGCGCTTCTGGGAACTGCCGCCACACTCCAGTTCCTGTGCACATTTGTCCGGAGGATCCCGTTTAACGCGGGTGCATTTCCTCACCGCGCACGAATGCCCCCGACGCCGGCATGAGCAGGTGTAACAGGCCCTGGCAGAAATTTTAGCCGGTGCCTCGACATAGATTCACTAAGCACCTGCTTAGCACATGCAAGGAGTTTGCTGCTTCTCGGAAGATATTTTTCATTGTTTTCCATCCTTCCAGAATCAAACAAATAAAAGGTTCCCGCCTGCCGATGTGTTTATTAGTGGGTATTTATCGAGACCCATCCGTGTGCGTGTGTTCATGCCTCAGGGAGACCCATGTCGTAGGGAAGCGTGAAGAGTGAGCACGCAGCCCCCAAAAGCTGGTGTTCTGTCAGGCGTGCACGTGCAGGGCAGCTGGGGCTGGGACTTGGTTTCCCCGGGCTCTTGCCAGATGCCCAGCTCCCCAGATATTCGAAGTCAGGAATTCTTGTCACCTATAGGACAGGTGGCCCTGACAAGGGCACTGGTGGGCGACATCACAGTAGAGTTTCTGAAGCAGCTCCTACCCAGCTGGCTCATCCGGGAGCTGACACCTGCCATTCCTGGTGTGGCTCAGGCCAGCAGAGGGATGAAGGCTCATGGCCCCCCCCAACACCTGTCCTCCCAGCAGGTGAGTTAGGGCCCCAGGAGGCTCCGCCATAGTGGTTCCCAAAGCTGGTTACAACGATTACACTGACCTAAGGGAATTTAACTGAATTGTATTAAATGGATTACTCAACTAGTAAGACGTGAGCACGTGAGTGCGAAAAGCAAGTCGTCCCAATGCAAACGGAGTTGAATGCTGAGAGGGAATGGGCACGAGACACTGAGAAAAGTCTGTCAAGTTGGTTGTGGGAATGTGGAGTGTTAAAAATGAGGAAAAAAGCATTTAAGTCTATAAGGAGTTACTTTGCAGATATTTTACCGCTTTTCACTTTGCTTTAAAAAAACTAGATGTGGAAATTGTAGACAAGATTTGTGAGAAAGGTACATGGGACTCTTCACAGTAAACTCACATTCAAAAGACCAAGCCCCTCAGCCAAATACTGGGTAAAAATCCCCAAACCCCCACCCCAAACCTTGTCGTTTATGTTTTAAGCTGAAATAAAACATTTAAGACACACAGGGTGGGGGCAGAAGTAGATCTGTGGTCGTGAGAACACAAAACACAGGCTTCGCTCTCGGGTCGTCGTTGTTGTATTATTTCTGATAGGAACCCCTGTAAACCTGCCTTTGCCACACCCTGTATATATAAATACATACATTATTCCCTTTTATTAACCAGCCACCTGAGCATTTTGCATGTTTCTGTGTGAACTTAAAAGCAGAAAGTAAACTTCACCTGGCTGGCGTGGCTCTGTGGATTGAGCGCAGGCCTGCAAACCAAGGCATCGTGGTTCGATTCCCAGTCAGGGCACAGGCCTGGGTTGTGGGCCAGGTCCCCAGTAGGGGGCGTGTGAAAGGCAACCACACATTCTTGTTTCCCCCTTTCTCTTTCTCCTTCCCTTCCCCCTCTCTGAAAACAAATAAAATCTTCATAAAAGCCTTAAAAAAAAGAAGGTAAACTTCATAGTAAATTAAAAAAACAGTTGAATTGGGATTTTACCTTTAAGAGTAAAACCACGACATGGAAATCTGACAGATCTGACATCCATACGATTCTGCTCACCGGTTCCACCTGCACTGATTCTCCAGGGTCTCCGGGGTCGCTGTGTCGACGGCTGTTTGTTGATGTGTGATGAGATATTCTTTTTCTGTTTGACTCTGGGGCTTAGTCACGACTGTGGTTTTTGCAAAAAGTATTAGAAACTCCCGACCTTTTCCCAAGGTCCTCTAGTAACCACTGAATTTCCTTGAACTGGCGTCCTTGTTGGTTCCCCCCACAATCTGCTGGCCCGATGCGCCGAGTGCCAGCTGACGAGGCTTTGAGTGATCCGAGAAGCTCAGTGCCACACCCAGGGCACACGCAGGCAACCGCGGCCACGTGTGCAACATTCGCTCCTTCACTTTGCAATTGATGGGCATTGTCTGGGGGTCAAAGGTGCTAACAGGGCCCACCAAGGGGCACCGCTGGTGCAGCGGAATCCAGGACAGTGCAGTGCAGGGCCCACAGGTAACGCACAATGTCCCAGTAGCCACGTTAAAAAAAAAAAAAACTAAAAAAAAACAAAAAAACAACAGATGGTTAATTTCAATAATAGATGTCACTTTACATAACACATCCAAAAGGTGACTATTTCCATGTGTAATCAATTTATAAGACATCACTAATGAGATCTTTCACCACTTGCGTGGCACCAGCCCTTTGAGCTCGGGCGCGCGTGCCATGGTGCGGAACACCTTGACTGTCGCTCTGGGCTGGCCGCACCTCGAGGGGTCGAACGAGACACGCAGCTGGTGGCCGCTGTCCACAACAGCCCACCCCGAGCCATCGCGCCTGAGGTCTATGAGGTCAGTGGACCGCCCCCAGCAGCTTGGGCCAGATTAGTGCCTAACAAACACGCTCAGAGAGTAAGGACCCTGACAGACACCAATCGGCGAACCGCCCCTAAGAGGATCAGCCTCTCTGCCTCCTTCCGGCAGCTGATCTCTGACACGAATCTCAGGGCCCGCTGTCAGAGCTTCTCTCTCAGCGGCAGTCTGGCGGGCGCTGTCTCCGCTTTCCCAACTCTCCCCGTGACCCAGAGCGCAGACCCCCCACTCCCTCTGCCATTCGGCACACACAGAGGGTGTCAGCT